AATGGTTTTTAGACCAAATCGAATCAGATTAACCCAGGATAAATTCGACTATGGTAATATTTTTAAATAAATTGAAGACATGATAATAATAAATACATACCTTTTTAGCCAGTTCAATTCCCATATGATGTTGAATATAATCTACTAGAGGTGACTTACAGCTTGAATATAACATTCTTTCTTTTATAGAACATTTATACCCTGGCATAGAGTATATAAATACTGAAACAATACAAATATAGAACATTTATACCCTGGCATAGAGTATATAAATACATTTGATAATGTGAAATGCTTTGGGGCTCGTCTCATGTGGGTTATTCAAAGAAAATGGTGGGAAAATTTTGAATGCGGAATTCGTACCATTTGATTGGGGCGGAATTGAAACGGACAGAACGCGTTCAGAACTCTTCAAACAAGCCCCACCCCCCTACTTATATCACAGTTAATTTGTACAGAAAGAATAAAAGTAATTACTATACCAGGAGTTTCCATATAATCACCCTCGTGAGTATGTTTAAATGTGAATAAATGATATCGAGGATGGTCGCTAGGAACTTTAGACGGTAAACTTTTCACTTTTATATCATCTGTATCTTCTAAATTTATTAATTCTTTATTGATGTCTAAACTCTGAAAAATAAACAATGACTTTCTTAAGACATGGATTTAAATGACATGCAACAAAAAACAGCACTGGGAAAATTCTGCAGTTTCACCAGTGAAAAATGTTTATTATGATTTCCATGGTTATTAATGTTCCTGTGGGAACCGGTATTCTTCTTATATATATTTGAAGATTATGGTTCTTCATTCCAAATCTCCAGACTATATTTCACTAGTGGTTAAATGCCTGTGCCTGTGCTTTTGCTTAACTGGCAATAACTGCAACCAAAAATTTCAAATTTGACAAATTGATATAGCCTGTTGCATACAGTTTGATTGAAGCCGAGTTGGCACAGACAGGGAACTAACAAATTTGCACCACCAAGAATCCAAAGAAATACAGCTTCCTCATCAACAATAATGTGTTTAAATACCAACAACGAAGTGACATGTAATAGGATAATGGTGGATTTTGATGGGAAGTTTAAATAAGATATAAGTTAAAGGAATTGTAAGTAGGTTTTCAATAATATTCAAAATTCCATTACATACACAGAGACATTACAGTGACATGAGTAGGCTGAAAAATTTCAATGATAAATCTAAACCATTAGACTTACTAATTGTATATAATTAAAATCTCCATGTTTAAATTCTTCTAGTTTCTGTGCTGCTGACTGTGAAAGAGGGAATGCCACGCCCTGCATCGTCTGGTGTTTAGTGTCAATATTTACAACTGCATTTACCTACAATATATGATAACAATCAAATGTGCAACTTTTTGAAGTTCTGATAAATGAAGAAAGAAATAAAAAAACATTTTCTACAAGGATAACAATTTTAGTTCACAAAGATGCAGTCTACATCAACCCCTTCCAGGTTAACTGTACTTTCACTTTACAAGTGTGTATACTGGATTGACCAGATTCATTACCAGATTCTAACACACCGACCAAGGCAAATAATGCCAAATTCAAACCCTTTAACTCACTATGCTATTACCTATCTTTTTTATTATACGTATATGATCTGATAAATGACTTTATTACTTCAAGATCAAAGCAGAGGACTACAGTACTTACTTCATTTTCTCTGATGGCCTGTAATTCTTCCTCGGCGAAGGTAAGAGGCGCTGGAGCATCTAGTGATTTAATATGTTTTAAATATCCTTTATAATTTACATCTTCCTGTATATAGATATAATTTCATCTTTATCATTTCAAAGTATGATATAAATAGCAAATGTTTCACGTTTCACATAATTCTGCTCTGGGTAACTTTCATCAATACAAACTTACAAAGTAATGGAACAAAACTCAGGAAGCAAATAAAAAGGCTCTTTATCTGTTTCTGATTGGGCTTATGCAAATGGAAAACTTAGAAGATACTCTCCGATAGAAGCACTGGCCATACTTCTTTTACATCAATTATCAATTTGAGTAATTAAGATTAAATTGAAATGGAAATGGTACTGTTTTTCGTGTTATGAATATCTATGAACTCGGGTACACATGCGCAGCATGTTATGTACGGGAGTGTGATCTACCACAGGGGCAGGCGACTGTATGTAACCGGTGGTTAACATATAATAAATATGCCTACATAATATCTGGTTGATACTTTAACATTTCGCTGGTAAATTAGTAAATGCTTATAAATAGTATTGAACAAACCTACCAGAGTTGTACCGAAAACTTCATGTTTCAAATCACCTTGACCAAATTCTTTTTTTAACGTAGCTCTTGTGGCAGCATACAACATTTTTTCTCGAACCTGGAATCAGAGAAAAAGAAATATGAGATGATGTTAACCTATTTTGACAGACGGTATTCTAGAATAGACAGATCTGATAATTATTAGAATAAGGTAAAACGTTTTTTGAATTCTTTCCATTTTTGTGTTAAAGTTGGAATAGCAGCCTCAAATTAGTAATTTTTTTAAGTTTAAATTGAAACACATTTCTCTCCTTGAAATTTCAACCCAAAAAAGTCCAAAAATTTTGGCTGAAAATTGTTTTCTAAAAATATAAATATTGAAGACACAATGTATGGATTGAGGCTTTCATTTTCTACATTTGACAGTCTAATTTAAGCACGACTTTCGCAAAGATCGACTGGTGAATACCTAAATTTCGACTTAAGTCTAACTTTACTCAAAGTTTAGGTAAAGTACGAGCGCTGCATATGGCCCTTAAAATGTTATGGCATTGATAAAAATATAAACACAAGCATACATTGTGTCTTCAATATTTATATTTTTAGGTAAAGTACAAGCGCTGCATATGGCCCTAACAGTACTATTAAGAAGCTGGAATTCTTCTTCATATAAAAAATAATCTGCTCTATTAGAATTGTATTAATTCTTTATTGAGTTGGTAAAAAGTAAATATGTATTTATTTAGGCCAAGGTCACTCAACATGCTGCAACATGACATTATTAACAGCTTAGTGAGATAGTGGCTGTCTTAAAATACTTAGTTTTAGTGGAATTGCAAGAACCACAGACATCTGATTGAAAATTGTAATGGTGTATATCTATGCTATCAGTGTTCATGATACGCATTAAAAGTTTAGAAAAACTTAACAATCCCTATATTTTGATATTCGAACGTGACAACAAGCCAAGTTAATCATATCACATTCCAATTATACCAGGAAGAGGGTATATAGATAATCAATTCCATAACAGGTAGTATATTAAATAACAGCTAAACTAGGAAGTAAAGGTGATACTACTGGGTATTGGCAGGAAGTCAAGTTTCAGTAATAACAGTACAGAATTACAATCACAGCTAGCTGTATGTTTGTTAAAGAGATTGTAAAGAGGTTTTCTAAAGTATTTATGTGTATTGGGGACATTGATTGCATTGATTTTTCAGACATATGTGGGTCTTACAATTCTACTAAAACTAAGCGTATAATGACATAGCTAAGACCTTTATATAACATTTACTACTTTTACAATGGTGACGTCATATAAGGTTAAGTATAATCATAAGAATTGGATTATACGCCTCTGCCTTTAACTGTCCATAACACATTCATCAAAGTCAAAACACGATAAGAAGAAAAGAGCTCAATAGATAGACTATCATTTTAGTATTCTGAGCTAGATACAGGGTACCTTGCTGTAAACATCATACATATTACAATACAAACATACACATTACTTTGAATAAAATTAATCTTGATCCAGCTCATGTACTGAGTTATTGCCCTTGTTTTGAAATCAGAATTAAAATGTTTTACTCACTGGAGAGAAATCAGGGGACCAGAATAAAGCTATCCATAAATACCCAGTCGAGGTTTTCTCATCTAATCTATATAGAATATAGCAGGGTTCTTTCTCAGCTAGCAATGGTAGAATTAACTTATCATAATGTAAAATAGGGGTTAAGGAAAATTAAAATTGGATACAATGTAGACATAATTATCAAGAATTTTTGCACTAGTTAATAGGTCTAACCATCTTACAAAACAGGTACTCAAAATCATTCTTGGCTAAAAATGTAACTTAAAGTGATATAAAAATTTTTATGGATTTAGTTGTTTAAATTTTTATTTACAAGCTGAAAGAGCTCAATCTCACCAATCTACAGGTCTAGAGGCAGAGAAAAACAGACTGTTATGATGGTACGAAAGATGGAATATCAGACTATCAGTTCTTATCCATTGAATCTTCCATCTCTGTATTAACCTAATGAAAAGCAAGAATGATCTCTACAGCATTCACTTGGGAACAGCGTAAGATAACAGGGCAATAAGCAATAAACTGTAGTGGAGTCAAAATGGATATCATCTTCCCAAGAACCTACAGCAGATTTTGTGCCACTTGAAACCATTTGCTCTGAAAATAACAAATGGCAAGTTAAATGACAAGCAAACAAAGAGGCTGAATGTTTTGGACATAGAATAATACCTGGTGCCACTCTGCCACTGGTCTAAGAGATTGTAAGTTTTTCTAAATATCTTTTGTGTATTGGAACACTGATAGCATTAATTTGCACCATTCCAATTCTCAATCAGACGTCTGTGGTTTTAGCAAATGTCCTTATATTTCAATAGCAGTAAAGTGCTTACTTTTTGTAGAATTGCAAGAACAACAGACATCTGATAGAAAATTGGAATGGTGCACACTGCAAATTAAAACCTTTTTATAATCTCTTTAACTCCAGGTATCTTTCAACATTTTAATAAGATTAATATCATAAATTTGTAATCTGAAAAATCCTTCATGGAGGTGAGAGGATGGATTAAATCATCTTCAAAATATTTTCATAATTAAGCCTATACAACTTTACCATTTTCAATAGAAATCTTCAGAACTCGATGTTTTCCACTCTTGGCCTTGGCAAAGACAGACAATAGGTCTGGAGAAGCTGAAATGATAAAAAAAATTATAATAGTGACTTGCTCTTTATAGTCAAGCAACAAACAAAAATATCTGTACACATCAGTCATACGGCAGTAAGGAATAAAAGGAATGTTGAGGTCCGAATGGAAAATATTATCTGTGGGTCAAGGGGCCAGAGGCGCCCATGTCGGGTACAGGGGGCATTTTACAACTTTGAGTGACTTTTTTGGCTTTGTTTTTGGTTACCAGTACTGGTAGTAAAGTAATAATGAAAAGCCTTGCTAAGAGAATAGCTTCATCAGCAGTGTTTATCAGTGACAACCTGCTCCTTTGAAACCCTAATTTAATTTCAATTAAAGTCACTCTATAAGCTACTGACACTTTAATTTGTGATTTCAGTAAGTGTAAGCTAATGTATTGGTCTGACCTTCGTGAACTTACAAGGTAGAATAGTAAAATAGTAGATCTCTACACCTATCAGGTCGTACTCATCATAATGAATCATTGACATTTGAATGGCTTTACTTCGCAAAAAACATTAACTTTTTGAGATCATCCTCGAAGTACATCAAAAGCACATTTAACTCTGTGATCTGACAATTTCTGAAAATCGAATTGCATGGAAAATCATGCTAAGAGTGTCTGTTTACCTGTAATTCCAGTTTGATGCGACATTTTTCAATTTCTCGTCAAAGTAGGAAGTTGTCGGAAGTTTAGCAAGAGTACACTCCCTCCTGTCACGTGACAAAAAATCTCCATTTCCTTTACAACGTAGACTTTGATTGGTTGATATAGTTATATTTGTCCAATCAGAGTACATGTTTCAGAAATTTTAGGCACAGCTTGCAATATGGCCGCCAACGTGAACTTGTCGAAAACATTTCCACAACCAATTTTAGAAAATCTCTTTTAAATCAATGTGATTCACTCTGAATCTGTTTGGTTCAGTTCTCAAACATAGATTCGCAATGGCTGGTTCGAATGTTGCCCACAAAATCAATTCAAAAAAGAGAACACAAGATGTTTTGATGTCTGAAAATGTCGATTTTGCAGGCCTGTTATTATCGGAGCCAGTTCAGAGAGGACTTTTGGCTGCCGGTTTTGAAAAACCGTCCCCAATTCAGTTGAAAGCTATTCCTCTTGGAAGATGTGGATTAGGTACTTGTTTTGTTAATCCCTGCTCACTTATAAGTTATAACCATGACTTAAAAAAAAAACTTGCCTTCTCACTTCTCACTAATGTAAAAGCTGCGGACATTAGCCTATTGATTGTATTTTTATCTAAAAATACTTCATTACAAAACTTATTCTACAACCTATTTAGTCAGAGGGTACCAGTGGTGGTGCTAGGCTCCTGAAACTTGGGGTACAAATATAGGGGGCAGACTGACTCCATAGTAGGATAGCTGTTGGTGTTGTGATTCCAAATACAGAAGTACTATAGGTTAAGAAGCTCCTTGAAGAGTCTGATGGGGTCTAACCAAGAAACCTTTTCAAAAATTAGAATTGATTTGGAGCATTGTACATTCATATTTTGGAGGAAAATTAATATTTTTTTTTTTGAAATTTCTCAGAAATGAGATAGGGGTTAAATTTGAGGTTTTCAAGGCCAGTTCTTTCAGAGAAGCCCAAGACTAGACTTACTTTGTTAAATGAGCTATTCCTCAATTTTCAGATTTAATTGTACAAGCCAAGTCAGGTACTGGAAAGACATGTGTTTTCTCAGTCATAGCCTTAGAGAATATTCAGATTACCAGCTCAGCATTGCAGGTATAGATATACTACACAGTTAATATTATTTCATAAGCAGTTTGTTTTATCCTCTCAACTTCATAGAATATTTGGAAACAATATACAAACAATAATAATAAGAACTGAAAAACAAGAAGAGCTTTTTTGTTGGAATAATAGTTAACAACATAGTCCTCAGAAATGATTGACATAGTCACAGTTGAGTTCTTAATTTGGATAAACAGGTCTGTGTATGTTAGGCAGTTTTCATAAATTTCCATTGTCAGTGAATTTCAATGTGTTTCCTGTTACCTTAAAAGGGTTAAAAAGAGGTTTTCTAGCTCTTTATGTGCATCAATGACCATTATGGCTTCCAATTTTCCATCAGATCGATGTCTGTGGTAATTGTAATTTAAGAAATGCTGAAAATCGGAATGAAGGAAAGTGAGTAATGCTATTAGTATCACTGTTTCTGTATATGAATATTTTTAGAAAACAGTTTTACAATCCCTATTAATATTACAGGTGTTAGTTTTAGCACCAACAAGAGAAATAGCTGTACAGATACAAGATGTTATTAAGAATATTGGAGCTTGTTTACCACGGTTGGCTTGTCATACATTTATTGGTGGTCTACCTATTAAAGAAGATATACAGAAATTAAGAAGATGTCAGATTGCTATTGGGTCACCTGGTAGGTCAAAACTGTGGTAAATGTTTTTGATTTGAAGTCAAAACATGTTGTCAAGTCCACAACATTGTTCCTGTGTTTTACCAGTTGTTCACGTTTAGGACACTTGACACTTACAAATTGAAAAGAAACCAAATATGCTGTTCTGACATTTTCCCTTCATTATCCCAGGAGCAGAAGAGTAGAACGTGAAACTCCATTTCATTTCAAGAAGTGTGTGAACCATTCAGCTCAGAAAAAGATAAATATCAAGTCTCTTGAAAAAGTTACATTTTCTAAATTGGTCATGGGAGCCAAAAAATTCTCCTTCAAATATTAAGACTTTTACTGATGGATTTAATATTTTGGAGAAAAATTATCCACAGCATTCAATTCAATTTCATCATTCATTATCATAATCAAAAAATATATAATTTGTTTCTCCAGGTCGTGTAAAACATCTAATAGAACATGGTTTAATGTCTACTGACAGTATTAGAATATTTATACTGGATGAAGCTGATAAACTATTAGAGGACAGTTTCCAGGAACAAATTAAGTTAGTTTTATCTCATCTCTTTTATTAAGTCAGTGGTTTCATCAGGATAAATTTTGATGTATTCATTTTATATTTCATACTATGCTTAATGAGGGAATTCATTCATTCTGCCCCCTCTTCCTTCTTTTTGCTCCGCCACTGATAGATGATTAACATAGCATGAGTATAAGCTTGTTTTTGAAACCCTACTTATATTGTTAAGTAATATAAACAGTAGAAACATTGTTGTCTTCTGGATGTTGTCTGAAGATATAGCACAGCATGCAACTCTGAGTGACAATATATCTTAAGATGTATTTTAATATCTCTATTTTCCAGTTGGATATATTCTTCATTACCTGATAACAAACAGATTCTAGCACTATCAGCCACCTACCCAGAATATCTAGCACAACATCTTACAGCTTATATGAGAAACCCTACTTTTATTAGACTGAATGTATCCGACCCTGCTTTATTAGGTTAGTAATAAACTTCATATTACTGTGAAAATCAATTATTTCCATGGGTACCAGGTTTCGTTGATTTTTTGACATATTGGTAAGAATGTATATTTGTGTATTTTGGTTTTCTTGCCAAAGTAAATTTTTGTAGAATGAGTATTTGTAATTTCACTATATAACCTCATAATGATGTGTATTTTGATAAGTAAAGAATCAAGTGTTGCCCAGTAAGTTTGGTGGTTGCTTGCTATCTTATGATAGCACTTTCAAGACTCTAGATCCAAGTTCCCCCTGTCAGTGATGCCGGTCATTTGGAAACAGAAGTGTCTCAGGATCAACTTGTGAAAGGAACCATATTTTCCAGACAATTTTTACAAATTAGTTCCGTAATAAACTTTCTATTCTTTCAGGTATAAAACAGTTTTATAGTAAAGTAAAACACCATCCTCTACCTAATAAACAACTAGATATTAAAACAGACAGTGTTATTAGTTTATTATCTAATATTGTCTTTAAGCAATGTCTCATCTTCTCAAACCTTCAAACCAGGTAAGTTTGGTTCTTGTCATATTTTGATCATTATGCATTTTACGATGAAAATAATAAAGGTACTTGAATAACATTTCTAACAATGCTGATTCTGAAGTCAATGTTCTTGTTACAGGTAACTTAATATATTATATAGATGAGTCAGTGTAAAAATATTTTTCAGAGCTCAGAATTTATGTAGTGATCTACAGAGTAAAGGTTGGCCGACATCTTGTATAGCTGGTAGTTTAGATCAGAAAGAAAGACTGCAGGCTATGGATCAACTTAAAACTTATAAATGTAGAGTTCTTATTTCTACTGATCTGGTAGGTTACATATTAATTTATAGTGGCAGATTTTGAAAAGTAAATGATTTTCCACATCAGCCATTTGACCATTTGTTCAAGCACAATTTTTGAATAATATATTTTAAGATTTAAATATGGAATCCTCTTTCTCTCTGACAAATTGATACAAGCACAAATGTAGAAATTTAGTTTAGAAAGACCCAATTCTTTTCAATTGATCAGAAATCACTTAATGTAAATGACTAAATGATTTATGAGGTTATATGATTAACTAAATGATTTATTACAGACATCACACTTTATAAGTTATATGATTGACTAAATGATTTATTACAAACATCACATTTTATAGGTTATATAATTGACTAAATGATTTATTACAGACATCACACTTTATAAGTTATATGATTGACTAAATGATTTATTACAGACATCACACTTTATAAGTTATATGATTGACTAAATGATTTATTACAGACATCACACTTTATAAGTTATATGATTGACTAAATGATTTGTTACAGACATCACACTTTATAAGTTATATAATTGACTAAATGATTTATCACAGACATCACACTTTATAAGTTATATAATTGACTAAATGATTTATTACAGACATCACACTTTATAAGTTATATGATTGACTAAATGATTTATTACAGACATCACACTTTATAAGTTATATATTTGACTAAATGATTTATTACAGACATCACACTTTATAAGTTATATAATTGACTAAATGATTTATCACAGACATCACACTTTATAAGTTATATAATTGACTAAATGATTTATCATAGACATCACACTTTATAAGTTATATAATTGACTAAATGATTTATCACAGACATCACACTTTATAAGTTATATGATTGTCTAAATGATTTATTACAGACATCACACTTTATAAGTTATATGATTAACTAAATGATTTATCACAGACATCACACTTTATAAGTTATATGATTGACTAAATGATTTATCACAGACATCACACTTTATAAGTTATATGATTGACTAAATGATTTATTACAGACATCACACTTTATAAGTTATATAATTGACTAAATGATTTATTACAGACATCACACTTTATAAGTTATACGATTGACTAAATGATTTATTACAGACATCACACTTTATAAGTTATATGATTGACTAAATGATTTGTTACAGACATCACACTTTATAAGTTATATGATTGACTAAATGATTTCTTACAGATATCACACTTTATAAGTTATATAATTGACTAAATGATTTATCACAGACATCACACTTTATAGGTTATATGATTGACTAAATGATTTATTACAGACATCACACTTTATAAGTTAAATAATTGACTAAATGATTTATCACAGACATCACACTTTATAAGTTATATAATTGACTAAATGATTTATTACAGACATCACACTTTATAAGTTATACGATTGACTAAATGATTTATTTCAGACATCACACTTTATAAGTTATATGATTGACTAAATGATTTGTTACAGACATCACACTTTATAAGTTATATGATTGACTAAATGATTTCTTACAGATATCACACTTTATAAGTTATATAATTGACTAAATGATTTATCACAGACATCACACTTTATAAGTTATATGATTGACTAAATGATTTATTACAGACATCACACTTTATAAGTTATATGATTGACTAAATGATTTATTACAGACATCACACTTTATAAGTTATATGATTGACTAAATGATTTATTACAGACATCACGAGGTATAGATGCTGATAAAATTGATTTAGTTATAAACTTGGACGTACCGTATGATCATGAAACTTATCTTCATAGAATTGGTCGAGCTGGCAGATTTGGTGAGTTTTTTTTGTCTAAAACAAGAGTTGATTTGCATTTTCAAATTGGTTTAACTCTTACCAAAACCCACCCTACCCACGAATCTAGGAAAGAATGATGGTGTGAGCTAGTCTGTTGTTGATTTTTCAAACCTTTTCTGAAACATCTCTTATTTTATGAAAAAGAGTTCCCAAAAGGATCATGATTTTCCATTTCTCCGAATTCCCCCTCACAGCGATCATCCTTGTTATAGAAAGTGTACTAGTTATTGATGAGAATATTTTTTTGTTAATAGGATCATTTGGAGCAGCAGTGTCTATAGTAAGTGAAGGGAAAGAAGAACAAGAATTGTGGGCTGTAGAAAGAAAATGTCACACTAAAATACACCCTTTACCAGGTACACAATCCCACTTATACTCTTAGTTCAATTTTATTTTGTAATTTTATTATATCTGTGAGGAAGGTCAGTTAGACATTTGATTAGTTGATTAGAGTTTGCTTCCCAACATAGTTGAAAATAGTTTCAAATTTTCAAGCTTATACTACAAGCTGTGCATTTTAAGATCTTATGACCTATCAAAATATAAATATCATAAATTAATAAATGTATACCATTTATAAATGTCCCTTGAGAGACACTTCATGGTGATGTTCGTCATCTGTCCAATTAAGATCATTCATTGAAATTCAATTCATCTTAAATTGCATGTTATCACTTAAGATTCACCCTCCTATAGCATTGTTTTCCCATTTCATATTTCGGCTGTAATTTACTGCTTCTCCATTACAGATCCTATCCCAAATGATTTGGTGAAGATAGAAATTGAAATAGATCCAGATGAGGTGATCAGTGTAGAACAAATAGTTACCAGGAATTCTGCGACTGAATCTGAACCAGCAGACGATCAAGACAATAATCACAATAATTCTAAAATAATTCAAGATGAACCTTGTCAAAATACAGAAGGGAATACAGATGAACTTAATATCACGACTTTAAATGGCCACACAGATAACTTAGCTTCAAAAGTCAGTGTTGAAAAAGTCAATGACAAGAAAGTTGGTAACGAAAATGTCAGTGCCGCTAAGAGTACGAGCTTAAACATCTTGTCTCGAAATTATCTAGATAAACATGACACAAGTGACTGTCAAAGTGAAAATAGTTTCAAAACCTCTCATGAAGATTTAGTTCAAAATCACACAAAGACTAACACGTCACAAGATTCGTTATCGTTAAATTCTAGTCAGAAACAAAAAGAAAATATAACAGAAGATGGAAGCAATATGTCTGATCTGTATCCAAGCAAACAGAAATATGTGTTTCATGATGAACAATCTTCCAATGTACCTGCAAATCACCAAGGAAATAGGATCTCTAAAACTTCTAGAATATCTAATAGTGCTAAAACTATGAAGCCGGACAATTCTAAAACAAATGGAAACCTTTTCCAAAATACTGAAAACAATTTAAAGCTTAGATCATGTGATGTAAAATTAGAAATGAATATTAATCAGTCCAATTCTGCAGACACAAATTTATCAAAAGCAGATTCATTAGATTCCCCTGTAGTTGATGTACATGATTTCCTTTCCACAAGTGTTTCTTTCTCAAAATCTAAAAAATCACAACGCGGTGAACCTAATGTGGAAGAAATTGTTTCACAGAATTCAGCCTCTAATAATCCAATGACGGCTACAGCTGGCACAATCAACCAGGCATCCAACGAAGAGCCTGCCATTGTGACTGAACCAGGTGATGCAAGGCCTATTACATTTGCCGCGAGACACTCAAAACTGAAATCGAAACTCGACAAAATAGAAAACGACTCAGTCATCAAAGACTCTAAAAATGACCTTCTCAAATGCTGCAGTGACTTAGTTAAATCCATCCAGACTCTTAATATCGAAAAAATTTCATCCCCCAATGAAGATCTGTGTACTTCAAGTGATGCCACCGTGGATTTGAGACCAAAGATCTGTGAGAAAAGCGTTCAAAAGACTAATCCTATGGAGGGTGCATCTACGTTTATGGAAAATAATTCAGATTCTAACAATGTTAATGCTGATCTGAGGGAAGGGGTAGAATCGAATTACGCTATTGCGAAAACTGAAGACCCAAAGAATACTAGTATTTCAAAAATATCTTCAACAAAATACAAGGGAAGGACATATGAAGATCTTTTGAAAAGCTTCAACGAATGTCAGTCTTCAACTACGGAGCGCAAACCTTATGATCATATCTCAAGAATTAAACAAGACTTACAAAACGCTGCTAAAAATTCATTTGTAGATGAAACTCTGACAATTGCCTTGAATAATCTTGATCAGATTTATTCTGGTGCAGTTAATTCCAAAAACTCTGAATCCACGTCTGTGTCGGTACAAACTGAACTGGTCAAATCTACTGAGTCATTGTGCTCTTTTGGTACTCAAACACAAATACCAAACTACAATGTATCTAAATTAACCAATAGAATGGCTGTTTCTTCTCTGGCAGAATTTTCAACCAATCATAATCCAGATAATGTTTGGAACTCTTTGAATGCTCATCTTGAAACTCAAATAGATGCAACAAAATTTGACAAACAATCAAAACTACGATTGTGTCAAACCAAAAACAGTGAAGAGACAATAAATGTTAACCAAATTCAACATGGCCACCATGCTGATGATGAAGGCCTACATCAAAGCGTCCATTCTAATAGCAGAACATCAACCATTTTAGAAACTGAAGGGAGACAAATCCAATATGACCTCCAAGACATGGAGAAGAAAATAAAAACAGGAGAGTTGAAATTTGGAATATCTTATGATTCACATAAAGTTACACCTCAATCTAACATTTTAGTGGCCAATCAGAATGGTGTTGCCTCTTTGTCAGATGTAGAGCAGTTATCAGCTCGAAGTAGTTCAAACTCGAACTTGAGTTCTTCGGAAAGCAACAGTGAAATTTCTGAATCAACCTCAGATTCAAGCTCTGTCACTAGAAAGAAAAACAAAATGGAGGCTGAAACGAGAGACATTTTAAGAAAGCCTAAATCTGACTGTCAATATAACCAGAATACCCAACCAGAGAGGTTAAGAAGTAGAAATAGAAACACCAAAAAACATTTAACTCACAGAAGCCATGGTTCTCACAATCGTCTTGATCAAAAGTCAACAGTATCTCATCCCTCAGATGAAAATATGTATGGTTATGGTAAGTTTTCAGAAGCACCTGCTGTTCAAGGAGACAATGACTATACACAGTGGTATAAACAGTATTATGAACCCATCGAAGGACTTTCTTACAGTGACCAGGGCAGAGAAGCCAGAGAGGCTTATTCTAATTGGTCTGAGCCTTATCAAACTAAAAGTGGAAAGCATCGAGGGCATGCTTATTCTGAAAAGCACCATCATTACAGTACTCAAACCCACAGCTATAAGCCTCAAGATTTTGATGCAGAGAATGCCTATTCTGAGCATTACCAACAGTATTATAGTCAGCCCCCAAACAGAAAGCATCAAGCCAAGTTTGATGCAGAGTATGCTTACTCTAACTGTAGGCAAGCCAAAAACAAAAAGCACCATACTAATTTCAGTGCAGAGAATGCTTATTCTAACTGGTACCATCAATGGTATGAATGGTATATGAATTACTATAGTAACCCTAATCCGTATTATCAATACATGTCTCCAGACCACTATCCATATTCCTACCCTTATAACTATAGTTATTACAGTGGTATGCCATTCCAAGCTGCTCCGACCAAGAGTGCTGGAGAAGCCTTGAAAGATTCTGTTAAATTTGCCAAGATTCAGAAAGAATACATTAAACAAATGTCTAAATAAAAAATGTTTCTGTTACTGAATTGAGTTATTGATTTTGTCCCTGATTTAGCTTCTTTTCAATGTCGACACAATTTACTACAGACATCATATTTGTAGGGATTTCGATTACTAACTTTAATACACTTAGGCCACTATATACTTGTTGGCATTGTCAATACGTATTACTTCTAAATTACGTACCACAAACATCACGGGACTGAGGTTTGAAGCATGCATATTTAGAATAATAAAATCCGTCGCACACTGACCGATCGGACGCCTTAGGATTATTTAACGGTGTGAACAGGGCCATAGGAAGCCATGAAAACTAGGGCACCGGGCGCTTTAGGAAGAAATTTTGAAAATCAGGGTTGACTTCCGTGCATCTGAGATAGTGCTATACGACTGTTTACGAAGCTCGACTATTAAATGAAATGAATGGAGTTTTACGTTCTAATTTTCTGCACTTATTTGGTGCTAATGAAGACGGGCAACTCAATGCAGTGTGCAATGAGGGAAATCTTTGCCTGGACAGCAGCATTCGCCTGTTCTTTTTTCTAATTGCAACAACCACTAGCACGTGGAGCCTCGGTTTATTTTACCGTCCGATCTACCTGCATCACTGGAAAATCTCAAGGTATTGTCTCGACCTATGCTGGGATTGAACACTGGACTTTCGGTTCACTGAGCGACCGCGGCCTCCTCCCCTCTTTTAAGAAGGCATGGGGGAGATCTCCTGTAAGCCTTCACCAATAATATTTGGACAGCTTGCTCGTTGTTCATACGATGTTCGCCTCTTAGGAGGTTGAGGTCCCACCACCCCACCCCACTGGAGACAATTTTGAAGATTAGGTGGGGCTGAATTTTATTGATGTTGAAAAAATTCGTTCAATATGTGCAGATCCATTTTAAAAAAAGAAAATTGATATGAGACATTCATTATATTTTTATTGTTTCTCCCATTCAAACATCTTTCTACTTCAAACGGGTACCTGTAGCTTAGTCAAATATTTAAGTTGGGGGAGGGGGTGATATGTCTAATATATTAACTTGAAAATGTTAAGTAATTCGTGAATTAGACTGGAGGGCAAATTATATTTTCATTTGATAAGTCATATCATGTCAGGTTTGTTTCACGTAGATATTTACTGAGATAAATACCTTATTATTACTCAGTTAACAATATTAGCTGTGTGAACTCTCGAATAGAGACGCCGAATTAATAAACCAAGACGCAGAGTGACATCAGGTGTTACAGAAGGGTAAGCATGCCCTTCCCCTTCGCGACATCCACTACAGTAGGGCCTACTAATTTTAGTTGAGCGTAAATTCAATGAAGTCTTGAAACAAGTTGAAAAAAAGTTCAGGGACAATCATGTCTTCCAGCAGAAAAATCAGTTTTTGCAGAACCTTTTGATTGGATGGTAATCAATACTAAACATTGGTTGAGTATATGAAGGGATTGTAAAGAGTTTTTTTTTAAAAAATATATGTGTATCGGAGACACTGATAGCATCAATTCACTGATAGCATCAATTTCCATCAAACCAATTTTTAATCAGACGTCAGCTGTGATTCTTGCAATTCTACACGCAAAAAAATAGTGTTTGATTTCGTCACTAATAACGAAATTTGTTTAATCACATTAGGCGATTAGTGACGTCATCAATCCGTTAGTTTTAGTGGAATTGCAGGTACCATAGACGTCTGGTCGAAAATTGGAATAGTGCAAATTGATAATATCAGTGTCCCTGATACACATACATTTTTTAGAAAACTCCTTTACAATCCATTTAATCCTGGATGTGTTTCTTTCTGAATCAAACACACCTAAAGTACACTCAGGTATGTATAAGTCACGTGATTTACTTAACTTAATAACAACCGGTTTGAATATTAGCATTGACAAAAATAGTATATATCGTACAATAACAAAAAAAAAACATCACTGGATTAGTGAGTGATTTAGAACTAAAAAAAAAGAAACCTTCACAAATTAAATAAAGCGGAACGAATCCTTTTTATGCATGACCCTAAGATAGTTTTTGAGATGTGTTGTCAGATGGGTTTATTACGTCCACGACGAAGATAACTTTGAAATTGTCAGCATCATAGTTTTCAACTGGACAGGTTAGTTTATATTGTGTAAAGGTTTATTATTTATATGGTATATGTTAATATACAATAGATTATACTTGTCTTCATTTAAGCGAAGAATGTTTTTTTTTAAATCAATATTTATTTCTAATATACAACAATGATCAAGGAATCTGGAAACAAGCTTACTGCTTATATAAATACATTTCCCAAACGACAGTGGCGGAGCCAGATTCATGTCCGAGGGGGGGGGGGGGGGAAATATCAGAGATTGCCCGAATTTCTAATTTAGTTGTGAGATTTTTGCCCGAAAAACTTGCTTTCGGGGCTGCGAGGAGGGACGGCTGCCCCCTCTGCCCCCCAACAATTGTCTAGCAAAATAATCCTACATCAAGCGATCTGCAGCAAAGACCTATTTGTAGTTCGATTAGCATCAGATACAGTATTGGGAATCCAAATCGCCACCTCGACAAAACTCTAAACCAGCAAGGGTGCGGTGTTAGGCTAGGGCGGAGCTACAGAATAGAATACAAACTACAACACTTTCAAAGTCACAATTAATATCAATTTGTGCACGGGGGGTGTCTTCAAAATACAAATTTAAATAATTGTAAAATACATGAGATTACCTCATCATCCAGATGCCTTATTCTCGAAATTAAAATAAAATCCAGTTTTTAGCAAATACAGTAATCTGATTGGATAATACAACTTAATTTAAAATCGTCTTTAGTGTTTGGCCAATCAGATCTATGACTGAAACACTAAAATCATTTTAAGTTAAGTTTTCGAGAATAAGGTTACCTGATTGGTTGGGAATAAGGTGGCCTTCCAATACAAATTACAAATCCTAATGATGAACAAGATATATGTTGAAATATTTCAGAAATGGCGATAACGAGAGAAATGAGTTTATGGAGAATGATATTTGTGATATCTATTTACACTTTACATGTTTCAGGTAAGGATTGGATAGGGCCGACTTGACCTTTGACCTGGTGACGACATAATGTATATTAATCAAAACATTTGAAAAAGGTTGGTTGCAAACTGCAAAATACAGACAGTGCTCTCCAAAATTGAAAATTGGAATGGTGCAAATCGATCCTATCATTGTCCCCCATATAGTCCAACATAAAAAGTTCATAAAATTTCTAATTATTTTATTTCAGCCCAATATTTTAAGCTTCGCGGAGCCACACCTTACAGTAGTGTTGGGTCACAGTATACGATGTATTGCAACATGGAAAGGGGAGGGTACCCTTCAGCGGCATATAGGGTACTGTTCAGAAGGGGCGACGAGGAAATGTGTAGTTTAAACGTCAAGCCATGTGCTGGAATAGAGTCTACGGTGTCAGATTATTTCTGTTCCTGTTACCATGGTAATAATACCGTCATGTATCTGACCATCCGTGACGTCACAGCAGACGACGAAGCTGATTGGACGTGTGGTTTAGAAAGATATAACCTCAAAAGTGACAAATTTTCACTTCCGCTTTACTGTAAGTTTTACCCTCATCCCTGTATGTAATTGTCTTTAAATCTTGAAGGCATCAGTGACCATTTCACTCTGATAAACAGGTGCGACAGCGCAATCGGAGATATCCGTATCACCTTTTAAAATTAACATGCTGCGCCAGGTTTGCCTGAAGTCATACTAATAAAACGGATGCCTTAAAAAGATTGTTTCTCTGAAACCTTGTCCGTTTGAGATTTTGTATGAAAATTAATTATTTTGACCAAAAGCCAGTTCGTAACGCTTTTTCTTTTAATTTTGCGTCCATGACACCGATACATGAACTGTGTTCAACGAGTCGCGGCTATGCTCAGACTGGTTGATAATGTTTTAGAACCGTCTGGTGCTCTTCAAAGCAGGGCTTTTTTTTTTAGAGACAGAGTAATAGTGAGTTTATGCCCCCACAACATTACCCCAATAAAGAGCAGAAAATTAAATTTCTATGCTTTCAGAATATTTGTAATCGTTATTTCAGACGGTCCAGGAGACAGTATAAGCATTACGCCTCATACTATTGAAAAACATACAGTGAATGAAGGGAATTCCTTGGCACCGATAACCTGTACCGCCCAGTGTAAACCAGAGTGTCATCTCAATTGGCGTAAACTTAGGGGTTCCGGTGATATCGTAGATGATGACGCAACACTCATTTCTAACGACTCCGTCCTATATATTACCGACGTGTCCAAGTCGGATGAAGGTCGTTACGTATGTCAAGCGTCCAATATAATAGACAAGAATAGTTCCGTTGTGTTTGTACATGTAAATGGTAAGGTTACTTATTAATTTGACGAATTGGCTTCATGATAACTACACTATATTGGCAAAATGTCTGCACAATCGTTACCTGAAATCTTTTCTATATTTTCTCTTAAATGGTCTGTAGGTTTTTTTTAGCTTTTTAATATGTCTTTCTCCATTATGGCTTCTATTTACATCATTCTATTTTTCATTCCGATGTCTGAAGTTCCTGTAAATATGGAAATACTTAACCGTATATGACGTCACCATCGCAAAAGCTGCGAATAATGTCTAAGTGCCTTGGTGATATCTACGTCATAAAGCGCATAGTTTTCGTGCCGGTAAATATAACAAGTTTGAGAAAAACCTCTTTCCAATCCCTTTTAGTGGTAAAAAAAAAACATCCACCAATTCGTGGTTTTCCAAAACAATTCTATATCAATATTTTCCAGCTAAGCAAGTATCTACGGGCGAAGAATCAAGATTAAGTTTTGGTGTTGGTGTGGGGGTAGGAATTGTGGTCTGTGCTGTTGTCATGGTAACTGGTATGGCTATTGGAATCTTCGTTTATTCAAAAGTTAAAAGTCATAATCAAGGTAATCGAAGTTATTCAGCTGAAATTCATATGAAATTAAACTGGAACCTTCATTGTCCATGTATCAGTCGCTCGCTCGATCCATCCGTCAACATTTATTTGTAAGTGCAATTGATCCGATTTTTACGAAAACTGGTGTGGATATGTAACATGATGAGATTTCGCACGAATCCGAACCTGACGATGTTACCATCCTTGTCGCCCATCTTCACAATATCAAACCATTACGACCTCCGGTTTATACCTAGACTTGAATAGCCGCCTTTCATCATATCACTAAAGTTTGTAAATTCAGCTATTTAATTGGATTGTACGTTAAGAAAAACAGCCAATTAGAGGTCACGAGATGGTTTTAACACTACACCATAATAGGCTGCATATGCTGGCGAACAATCCAATCAAATAACTGCATTCCGTGATAAAATAATAGTGGCTATTACAGTCAAGGTATTAGCCTAAGGTGGTAATAATTTGACATTGTGAAGATATCGTCTAGAAAGCTATCTTCACAATCAGTTACATGTTCAAGAAATAATATCTATGATAATTGTACACATATTTTTTTCAACTCTTGTAGGTCGAGAAAATACACGTACAGAATCTGTTACGTAAGTTGATATATTTAAAAGAATTTTATGTATTTTTGACCTCGTAAACTATCGTTAGCCTATTTGACAAAAATATTTTTTGCACTGATTTACTCGGTATATATTGAAATATCTATTTGAAGTATTCAAGCCTATATATTATATTGCCCCGACTCTCCCATATAGTAGGAGCCGCGGTGGTTCAGTGATGCTTGCTCGCTTATCTGAAAGTCCTGTTTTCAATCCTGTCATAGGTCGAGATAATACCACCGTATTTTTTAACCCGTCCCGACCCGTTAGTGATATATTTCGGAGTCTACTCGTTCCGATTAGGCAATAAACCGAGACCCTTTGAGCTACAAGCTGTGCACGTTGATGACCCCTCGATTGTTGGAAATTTAAAAAAAAAGCTAATGCCGCTGTTCCTCAATTTCCCTCATTGCACACTGCATTGCTTGTACGTTTTCATTAATTAGGTGTAGAAGAGTAGGACGTTAAACTCCTTTCATTTCAATCCAATGTTTAAGTATGTTTCTATAAGTAATATTTTGTTTTTCCTCACAGTAGTTCAATGGTACCAATTTACGACGAACCTCACCAACCAAATATATTCAGACCTAGAAAACAAGACTATAGAATTATCAACCAGCCTCAACTTCCAGCTTATGAGGACCATAGTTTTGATTTGTCTCCTTTATGATGGTACCAGTTTCTACGAATTCCAGGGGCGTGCCTACATATGATTGGTTATAGGGTAGTCCGACAAATCTGTTCCTACTCGTTCCTCGGGTATATACGTGATATAACGTATAATAACGGGTAGGGTCAGATTTGTCGGGCTAAGTACAAGAGTGGTTCGTTTTCTAAATTGCTGAACCTGTGCAGTGTAACACAGTTTAAAAATGAGATACGAATCTATTTTGAAAAAACTTCAGCGATTCTGTGATTAGAGCCGCAGACAACGTATTCTACCTGTTTAATTTTACTATTTACTGTGGATCTCTTTCTTTAGTTGCCTTGTGTGCCTCAATTCGATGAACTCTGAATCTCAGGCGTTATTTTCAGCGAATATTGTTTTGTACATTGTCTACATTGTTTATATCTTGATGTATAATATATTTTTGTTTTCATTCTTTTGATAATGATATAATGAAATATAAAAGTAAACTTTTGTAAAAATTTGCATATTGTCGATTTGAATATTTAAATTACACTACTGAAAGTCCAGGGTTATATCCGGCAAAGGTCGAGATAATACCTTCTGATTTTTCAGCCCGGTTTCTGTAGGTGATGCAGGTAAGAGGGGCTGACATGGAAAAAGTGTCTAGTCATTCGGATGGGACAATAAACCGAAGCCCCGTGTGCTATAGGATGTGCAGGTTAAAGATCCCTCGACTGTTGGAAATCGAAAATGAGCAGGCTGTCCTGGCAAAATTTCCCCCATTGTACCCTGCATGGTGTCGCCCGTAAAACTCAATTTCATTTCATTTTTCGACAGAAAACTCTAATAAACAGCATGGTTAGCACATCCCTTCTTAGTTGTTGGTCTGAGAAAAGGAAATTCTGTGAGAAAAGTTCTACAAGATTGTCTTTTCACTATAAGGAAGTTCCTGTAAGTCTCTGATTTTATTCAGATATATGATATGAACCATTTGAATCACAGTTGTATGTTATTGCCAATGAACATGGTACAAAATTGAGAACTCAGTTGTGATCTGAAAAGAATAATCTTAAGATAGAGTTGTTTCCCTTTACTCAATATTGAATTGAAATTCAGTACATGCAAACTCCCATCACTTTTCATACAACACCACCAACAAATTACACGATAGATGTTCTATAACCACATTATTCAGTAGGGGATTGATATGGGGCGGGGGTAAGGAAAGCCCCACGTCTTGTTAGAGAGCAAACTAGCGGTACTTTCAAGGGGATCATTTGACTCGTTGAGCATTTTCAATCAAATATATTCTATACCTGGATTGGAATTGAGTGGCAGAAGCGTAGTGGAATAAGGTTTCCCTGGATTGAATATAATGTAAATAGTCTTCAGAAGTACTTGAAATGTAAACAAATCGCACAATTTCTTCATAAACATCTCCAACAAGGAATTTCTTTTCCTATTTCTATAGTCTTTGCTGTATTATGCAGTTTCTCAAGAAAACACGACTCGTCAAAACGCACATTCTGAACACACATGGATTTGTGGGTTCAAATTTGCACGATGAGCTGTGAACATTATAACTGATTAGCTTAGCTAAAAAATTCCCGTTTCTGAAACTAAGGTATGATTGGTCAAATAATGACGCATATGTCCCACTAATTTGACATGCTCCTTTGGTTTTGCTACGTAGCCTCGTTAAAAAGCCTAATCCTAAATGTCAACCATCGGAAGATATTTGAACCTGAATGTTGTTATTTAGAAATATTCTGTGACATTGTCGAAACGTTGAATCAATATCTCTATATATAGATTAATATCGATATCTATCGACCAGGTGTCACACGTGTTAAACTGGTATTTGTAACTATGCCTATGTAGTATCAGCACATTCCGAGCTCGGCGCGTGGGTGGTGGAAACTTGAATATACATTGTACATCAAAACAACACCTGTGACATATTTCACAGTTAATTAATAGATAGGTCTAAATATGGAATAAAAACAAGCTATATTAGTTCATTTGCATGTTTATATTATGTAGATTAACTTATTATTTTATGTATTATGTATTGTGTATATTTCTTTGTTTGATGTAGTTTATTAGAGTTAACAGAGCAGAAAACTCCCCTTTTCATACCAAGCTAACTTCAACAGAACGTTAACCTTTATTCATTGTCAAATTATAGGCAAATGACACAGCCTGTACCGCCATTTCATTTTAAATACTAACTAAATTTTACAGGACTTACAAATATATTTTGTTTTTATGGGCATTCTATTCTCGTATCACCCTAACACTCCCGGGGCCTGGATTTATTGTCCCATCCGAACGACTAGACGCTTTCTCCATGTCTGTCCTCCGACCTGTATCACTAACAGGGGGAAACTAGGTTGATATGCCACACCAAGGCATAATAAGTTAGGATCTAATCTATTCCAAGTAGCACCAGGGGCCTCGGTTTATTGTCCCATCCGAACGACTAGACGCTTTTTCCATTTCAGTCCTCCAACCTGCATCACTGACAGGGGGAAACCAGGTTGATATGACACACCAAGGCATAAATAAGTTAGGATCTAATCTATTCCAAGTAGCACCAGGGGCCTGGATATATTGTCCCATCCGAACGACTAGACGCTTTTACCATGTCAGTCCCCGACCTGTATCACTGACAGGGGGAAACCAGGTAGATATGCTACACCAGGCTTAAATAAGTTAGGATCTAATCTATTCCAAGTAGCACTAGGGGCCTGGATTTATTGTCCCATCCGAACGACTAGACGCTTTTACCATGTCAGTCATCCGACCTGTATCACTGACAGAGGGAAACTATCTGTATGTAGGTTCTGACATGACACAGTCTGGTTGATTTCGAGTACAAGTTGACATAGAACAATACATTATTATAACAAACCGTCAAACCATACATGAATAGTTTAATCACTCGTAGCTTAGCATATAATAACATCTACTGAGTCGATACAATACAATAACATGCCAATCAATGGCTCAAATAGAGTTGGGCCTCTCCCCTGGAACTTTTTAAGATACATGTATGCTCTCTGCATTCTGGGACCCCTCGTTAGTCAATTTAATTCCTGTTGATTTAAACAATATCAATTTATGCAAAAGTTAGTGGGGGTGGGTGTTTTAGCATGAAACTGGATGAATCGTGTCTAATATTGTGGGTACAGATACATTGAAACTTAGAGACGTATCCTTCAAAATATGTTACATTTACAAGTTATATGGACTCCTAAACGCACTCGAACCCAAGAAACTTTCCCCAGCTAATGTTCTCTATTGAAATGTCTTCGATTCTGCGTGGGATGGTGGTGACCTGCTGGCTCGGTCCCAGATATTATTTATATCTCAATCTTACTGATTTGACACGTTGTAGGCTTAAAATAGACAGGCCTAGTTATAATAATGGAAAATTGTCATACACGTTTTCAAGTTGTCTGTGGAATCGATTTGTAAGTCTGCAAATTTTTTCCCGAGCTTCAAGAAAACTCGTATCTTTTAAATTTAAGAATCAGATTATTTCTGCCAAGTTGGCAAATGCAAATCGCAAAAAGAGGAGGCTAATTTTGGCAAAATTACCCCTTATGCACATATAGGATAAAATACTAAGAGCCCTTGTTAACTGAAATATAGTAAGCAAATGTCCTTGCAAATTTTTCCTCATTGTATATGATATGACCACCCTGAAATAGAAAAGTAAGACGTAAAACTCAATTTCACGACCAATTGCAATATAACCATGAATTACATAGGAACACAATTCTTTGTGTATCGCTTCACCGGACTTCATAAGTTATTTAAGAAATGAATCTAGTATCTTGGCCGAAAAGATCCGAAATTAATAAATATATTTTTGACCTAGATGTATGAGGTGAAGTAAGACTACCTTAGATTTATATATCATTATCGTCATGCCGCCAATTTTCTTTGATGTAGTATATAGATGGTGTTAGATAGTAAGTGATAAATATACTATTTAGATATTATCTATATGGGATATAATATCATACATTCAGGTCGATGGCCTGATTTCATTAACTATGCTTTGACCGTCTCAGCAAGTAAATTTTTCACGAATATTTGTAGATTTTCTGATTTACTAAACCTCTCTCTATGGTAGATGCAAAACAACCTCTCTAGGTATATATCCTTTTTTTAAACAATATTTATTCAAGAATTACAAATATTACATATATATAAGCATATGGTTTTGGAAACAAGCTTTAAAACCCACTACCATTCAAAATAATTACAATACGATACAATACAAATTTGGGAAAAATTTTACGAGTATATTCCTGATCTAATTTGTTAAGTACTTAATCTGGAAAACCCACTTCGTTATGTAGATTTACCATAAATCTACTTCGTTGGGTATATTCACTAAATCTCCCCTGGTAGAGTTATAAAGCTACTTCGTTGGGTATATTTACTAAATCTCCCCTGGTAGAGTTACTTCAGACCCACTTCTCAGGGTAGATTTTATAATCTTATTTGATATTACTGGATTGTCCTTAAACCTACTTTGTTGGGTAGATTTTCCATGGATGTACTTTCTGGTGATATTTTGTGAAGTAAATGTGCTATAAGTTGGGTTTATTGTAGATATACATCTATTGTCTACTTCCTAGACAGATTTATCGACATATTTCTTTAACTCGTCAAAATTAGACCTTATATGAAACCTCCTCCTTCCACATCAAAATCTTAAGCTGGAATATTTGGACTAGCAAGAGACGGGGGTAGTCTTATAACACGACAAACTTTTGTTGAATAGACTCCACGCCATTCACAAGAAGAATCGTGATGCCGATCGTAAAGATGTGGGTATGAAAACAAACATCTTTGGTTTATAGTTATAATTTTAGAACACACGATGTTGGTTTTAGATTTCTATCCCCAGTAAACATTGCTAGTACCAACAACACTGACTCGGCAATTTCTTTACCACTGTAAAAAGTACATCGATATTTTAGTTGATACGTCGATGGTAATTGACGACTCGACCTAACTTA